AAGAACCTTTACAGTCATTAGGTTCTTTGAAAGCTGAAGATGTGAAAAAATGAGCAATGCCCTCCCCAGTACTCGAAACTGAATCTGTCGATTAATAGCCGATTGTGCTACCGTTACACCACGAAGGCATGCTGGAAGGAAGGAGAAAATACCCTATGTACTCCCCCTTTTAAAGGGTGACTGGCGATTACGGATCTAGTAGTCAAATCCTGGTGGTGGTGAGTACAACGTTTTCTTTCGGGTGCCACTATAGGGTCATTAGGTTATTTTGAAGTTGGAGACGTGATAAAGGGGCAATGCCCTTGCTAGGACTCGAACCTAGAACTCTCGAATACGCGCCGAGTGTGCTACCGTTACACCACGAAGGCATGCTGAAAGGAGTGAGAAAATATTTTATAAACTTCCTTTGTTCTTATATTAAAAACATGATAACCTTCATTTTTACGGAATGCATTTTAAACCAACATAAATTATCTAAGTAAGTAACGAAAGTAAAAATAAGCCATGTTTAAGTAGGAACATGTCCCGCGAATGCTAGTGGTGTAAAAACGAATAAGAGATAAAAATGCAGATAAAGCACTAGAAGATGTTTTTAACAGTATATATATATTTAATATATTTAGAAATTCAGAGACCGTTCATTTCTGCATTTCTCGCAATGTCGACATATAGATCGGTGAACATGTTCAAAAATGCCAGGTCTGTCAACGGTTCATGCGAAATGGTCAGGCTATACGGAGATCTGGCACTCGAAGCTTTTGAATAAAACACAGAGAAGAAATCAATGTGGACCAACTATCGCTTCGGATAATCATTGCCCACAACGCCCAAGGCAGTTTCTGGAAAACATGGCTTTCTAGTGCCCGCAGTTGGTATTTTCGGCTACATTTTGCTACATAAAAAGTGATTTCTTTTCACATTCCAAACCTTGGGAACGACCTATAAGTGTAAATATCTTCCAAGGTAAGCCTAGAAAATAAAATTTACAATTTAATTCAGTATCCAAACAGAAACTGCGTACGAGAAGTTAACATCAAAATGAATGCCCAAACAAAGGTTTGATCTCACATAGAAACAGCTAAAAATATTAAAATGTATTATTCAAAGTAACAAATTGTTCGAAAAATTGCTTGACTGCAGTGTCACGATAAAATTAAAATGAATAATTGGTAAATAGTCAAGTTGTATTCAATAGAAATATATTTTAAAACTAAGTACTCAAAAAGGCAAATATTGCAACAAATTATTAGTAATATCATAATATATAATTATTAGGAAAGACTGCACATCTTTATTTATTGACAAAATTATGTATTAATGTATAAACTTTATGATGTTAAGGTTCATATAACATGAATTTTAAATTTTTGAGAAAATTTCTGGTCATGATATAAAATGATTAAAAAAAAAAAAAAAAAAAAAAAAAAAAAAGCAACTTATGATAAAATATATAGTGCGTAAAATAGATGAAAATACAATTTCTTTCTCTTAAGAAATGTTGTGGACAATGCCTTAATCTGAACTGATTAAATTTATAACCTTTAAGTAAACTGACAACTGAGCGAAAATACAAGTATAATGCTAATCAGCGAGTAAGTGGTTAGAAGCTACCGCTATTACATTTCGTTTATCTCATTTCCTTGATATATTGCCGGTCAATGAGCTGATGTTATTTTCATAGTCTTTCTCTAAAGGTATTCGACATTTTAACAATAAACTACCGCTATTAAGTTTGAATTACCTGTAATAAGTTATGAATTACATCATTCATCCAAACATTTGCTTTGTTTGAAGGTATCTAAAGGTAAATCTGCTCAAGTAAAGCCTTGAAAAATCTAGCATTTGTGCTTCAAAAAACTTAATGCTCTCAAATAACATGGTTAAAGCAAGTTTTGTTCGAATTATTTCTTTTGCGTTGCAAGTGAAAAATGGAGCACGAAACATTTAGAACACATTCTGAGCTTGCCTGTAAAACACGTTTATCCGCATTCTCACGCTTAGAGCAGAGAAGAAAATACTTTCGAGTTGTTTTTCACATGCTCCGCCTCAGACTACTGTGCTGTTCAAATTTAACAGAATTTTCACATTTGGCCAAACATCTCTAGAACTAATAGACAGATTTTAATGAAATAGGGTATGGATATATGTTGATAATGCAAATGAAATACCATAGAACAGTAACAGTCTTGGTAAGTGCTAATCATCGTGTGTAAGAAGCTCTAAAGGTTGCAAGAAACAATAAAAAATAAAGCTACTAAAAGCCATGGTACACTTTTAACAACTCTCAAAACCTGACTTCGTACTGGAAATAAGGTAGCTTATGAGTTCCTGTGGAAGTCGGTCTCATTCAGAAAAACAGTGTTCTGGTTCTATAAGAGGGAAGACTTGTTGTAACTGCCCTGCATAAAGCATCCCATACTTGTTTTATAGGGCTTAGGCCTGGAGACTTTGGTCCATCCGCTTAATTTTCTTCCTTTTCAAAAAATATTAAACTAAATTTGACCTATGTGAACCAGAGTTATGGTTCATAATTATAAACTACGCTCCAACTACAGCCCTGAAAAGTTGAATGTAGGCATCCGCTATCTCATTCCCTGCTTCGGCAAGAAGACCTGTTTGCATCTTGCTTACTCATACGTACAAGACAGTCCGTTTAGCAAAATGCAGAGAGCATCGGCCTTAGACCAAGCACCAGTGGAATACCATTATCTTTATAGATGAGTTCGGATTTAACCTGACCATTGACTCTCAATGTACCTTCATCTGGAGGACACCAGAAAACTTCTACCTGTCATCCAAAATTCGGGAAACGAAACTTTATGGGAGTGAATATTTGATGGTCTGGGTTGGTAACATATTGGACGGCTGCATAGACCGTCATGTCTTTGGCAGAGACTAAGTGACTGTTACGAGATACAGTCATGAGATATTTTTATTTACATTTTCCAGGGACGTAGTTCACACTTAGTTCATTTTTATGAACAACAACGTTCACTCACATAGCGCTTCTGCAGGACTGGTACTGCCTGCAAGAGATATCAAAACTATTCTTTTCCAGTTTGAAGTTACATTGTGAAAGCTGTTTGACAGTTATAATGGACTATACCCTCTACTAGCCTCTTTTTTTCGTTCTATCTTGTAACCTCTTATTTAGACCTTTCTCCGTTACTGAGGCCTATATACGATCATGCGTGTGTACAATGACGTATATATTATAGTATTTATTTAATTAAGATAATAACTTCTTATTTATGATTATCTCCTATGAAATAAAGAGTAAAACTAATGTCATTGAATCTGTTTAAATTTAAAGTTAATATATTAGAAGATTTATATTACACAACTGACAACTGTTAAACATGTAATAGACCTAAATATGTTTAAAACTGTAAAGTGAATAAACTAAAACTGAAATACAGAAAGTGAAAGGTAAAAATTTTAAAAGTCCCAAGAAATTTAAAATAAAATTAATTATTGTTGATTTCGTGGAAGAAAGCTGACCTAACTTTCTTCCATAAATTCCGCAATAATTGTGTCTGATCATGTTTTGTCTCCTTCCATATTTGAATGAATCCTTTAAGCTTGCGAAGATATCTTGTAGGGATTTATATTTGTTACGTAATTCCTGCTTTACAGGTTGCCCGAAGATAGAGATGCTAATCGGCAGTGACATTTACGGTTCAATTCTTACAGGGAAAGTCAAACAGCTCGATGGAGGTTTGACTGCAATTGACAATACATTAGGATGGACTATTTGTGGTCGACTTAAGGAGCATTCTGAACCACAAAGTAGTGGTATATCTACTCTGAATGTAAGTCTGACGTTTCGGGACCTAAACATATCCAATCATTGGAACTTAGAGACAATAGGTATTTCAGATTCTAGCAGTAATTCTACAAAGAACGTGAAAGATGATATTGCTTGTGAACATTTTTTTAGACTCCTTATGTAAAAATTAAGAGCAAAGTCACGTAGCAGAAAAGCTTCGAAATTCTTTTTATGTCGATAATTGCGTCACGTCTCTTGACACAGAGGAAGAGGTGAAGGATTTTATGGATAAATCAATTGACATTTTGGCAGAAGCTAAGATGGTCCATCTTAGCTTCGGATCTTAGCTTACGGATGTGAACATTCGGTCCTATAAACGACGTTAATAAAATTTCGAGGAATGATAATTCGGAATCTCTTTCTAAGAATCAGATTTCAGTCTTGGGTATTCTATGGGACAGAACGGATGATAGCCTTTCTATGCATATTAAGCCTGTGCGGAATCTAGACAACCTGTCAAAAAGAGAGATTTTGTCCTTAACACAGGGGATTTTCGATCCGCTAGGGTTCTTAGCTCCTGTATTATTACCGGCTAAGTTATTGATTCAAGAAGTTTGGTCTATTAAAGCAGATTGGGATTCTCCACTGTCAGAAGAGGTCAAACAAAAATTTTTGAAATGGTACTGTGAATTACAGATCTTATCAGATTTGAAAATATCGCGCAGAACAGGATATGGAAACAAACAAAGAAGCTTACGCGACCGTGATTTTCTTACGCTGCGAAAACAATGGTGACACATGTGTAAATTTTCTGATCGCAAAATCTCGTGTTGCACCTTTAAAAAAGATGACAATACCACGTCTTGAACTTTTAGCTTGTGTTTTAGAAGAACGTCTAGCGAAGTATGTTGTAGAAGCATTATCCTTAGACGAAATTGAAAAACATTACTGGTCTGATTCCACCACAGCTCTGTCATGGATCAAGCGCAATGATCAATGGAGAACTTTTGTAGGAAATCGTGTCAGAGATTTGTGCACTTTCAGAGGAAAATCAGTGGTCTTACGTGCCAAGCCAGTTAAATCCAGCTGATATACCATCTCGTGGTTGTACCCCTCATCAAATTCTAAAGAATTCATGGTGGGAGGGTCCTAACTGGTTAAAGAATCCGAAGGATAGTTGGCCACGCGTTGAAATTAAACCCATGAGGCATTAATTTCTTCCGAAATCAGAATGAAAACTGTAGTATTAAACGCTAGTGTGAGTACTGATACATCTAAGTGGTATGAAAAATATTCTAAATTTTCAGCAATTGTAAGAATTTTAGCATGGGTTCTAAGATTTATTAGAAGCTGTCAGGCAAAATCTGTAAATAGAGCAAAATTCTTGTCTGCAGCCGAGTTAAAAGATTCAAAAAACACTTTGAGTCTACTAGTTCAACGTGAAAGTTTTTCTCAGACTGGAGATGTAATAAATGGTCTTTCAGTCGTCAGAGATGAAATAGGACTGATAAGAGTGAAAACAAAGATTCTCGCAAGAGATGATGAATTTGGATTTAAATATCCAATTCTACTTCCGTCAAAGCATCATCATATTGTGCAAAGTCTAGTGCTCGAATACCATAAAAAGAATTCTCATGCCGGTGTTCAAATGCTCATGTCAATGATTAGAGAAGAATATTGGATTATTTCAGCTAGACAAACAATTAGATCAATAATCAAGAAATGCATTACCTGCAAGAGATTCACAACACAAGTCACCTTCAACCATACCTATTCATTTACCTTTAGACAGAGTACGGGACGCTCGAACTTTCGAAGTCACCGGAATTGACTTGTGTGGTCCCCTTATTCTTAGGAAAAAGGACTAAAGCCTGGGTGGTGCTGTTTACATGCGCAGTTCTACAGAGCAATACATTTGGAGATCGTGACATCCTTAAGTGCAGATTGCTGTGCACTCGCGTTGAGAAGATTCATCGACGAGGCCGTCCGACAGTTATCTATAGTGACAACGGCACGAACTTTATCGGTGTCTCTTGTGCATTGAACCAAATTGAGTGGCAAAAGATAGCTGCTCTTGAAACTCTAAATCCAATTAACTGGAAATTCATTCCCCCAACCGCAGCATGGTGGGGCGGTTGGTGGGAGAGACTAATTCGCATAGTGAAAAATCTACTTGTTCGAGTTCTTGGTAAGTCGTCTGTTACGTATGAGGAACTGCTCACAGTTCTTTGCGACGCAGAAGCCACCGTTAACAACCGCCCGTTAACATACATCTCCAACGATGCAGATGAGTTGAGGCCTCTAACACCATCCAACTTTCTCCAAGATGTAAAAGAGATTGGAACGGCTGATCTTGATCATTTGGATAGGAACAAACTGGTAAAGAGAGAACGTTATTGCCAAGAACTGCGTGAACAATTCAGACGACGATTCCGGAAAGAATACTTAGGTCAGTTGGTGCAAAAAGCTACATCTGACAAAATTTTCAAAGTTGGAGAAGTGGTCCTTGTTGGTTCTGAAAACCAGAAGAGACTTAATTGGCCACTTGCAGTAATTGAAGAACTGTATCCAGGGAGAGACGGCCATGTGAGAGTCGTCAAAGTCAAAACTCCACTTGGTCATCTCGTTCGTCCAGTCCAAAAAATTTACCCTCTAGAAGTTAATTCTTCTGGGGATCCCATTATACCAGATCAACATACTACTAATGACACACCAGCAACATCACAGAATGACATTCCAATTCAGAAAGATGTTTCAGCAGCTCCTCGGACGTAAAGAAGCGGCAGAGTAATCAAGATACCTAAGAGACTGGACTATTAAACTTTCAAACTTTGTTGATTTACCTCGAATGTGGCAAATTAAGGTTGGAGGATGTTACATAATGCCGTCAATAACTTTGAAAGATATCCACGAGACAGTTTTATGAATAACTTTATTGAATAAACACGAGACTTTTAACGTATTAATGTTTTAATGACGCGAGTTTTATGTTTCTTTTTTTGTGGATGGCATCAGTTTTCGGCGTTGCCATGCACGTTCTAATCCGTGTTTACTTAGTGATAGAAGTGTTCTATGAATTTAATGTTGATATGAATTGAATTGAATTATTATATTGTATTTGTGTTCTGTTTATTGAATAATATCCTAGTTCCTGCTTTACTGTGAAACTCTGAAAATACTGATGTCAAGTGTTAACAAAGTGTTTATTCGTCAAGAAACATGTGCAGAATTCAAGTAGATAAGATTTTTTTTTCTATAAACATTGAAATTGTAAACAGATATTCTAATAGTAGACTCACTGTGTCTGATTATTATTAAGGTTTATATACGTATATATTAAGAACCTGTGCAGAACAACCGTTGACGAGTAGTCTCGGCGTAATTCTGATATTTTTTGATAATATTTTCGTTACAAAATTTATTTTGAATAACCAGTTAAATTTAAGTTTACGCTTTCCTATAAGCCTTCATCTCCCTAACTGTCAATGCCAGAATATTTAAATTTGGTAGCGCGCGTGAAGGACTGCATATTCTACCTTCAGGAGAAAAGGTTTAACCGAATTCTAGAAGGGAAAGTTAGAGAGAGTCTGGGCAAGCACTATACCTTAGTAGCGTTAGCTTCTGGTTCAGCATTTATTGCTGGTTAAAGTGGCGAAAGAGCTATTACTTTGCTGCCACTAGACTTCGACGCGGTTTTAGGTAAATTTAGTATATGAGCCTTGTATAATAATTCTTCTGTTTGTTAATATCTTTGAATTTTTAGTTTAGTTCTTGTGTGTTGAGTTACCGCCCGAACGAGGCGTAGTTTGTTAATGTCAAGTCGATGCATTTTGAATTTTAAAGAGTTTTAATAAAGGGGCTTTATACCTTTTTCCTGTGTGGTTCCTACTCGTACTTCAGCTGTCATACCCATAAGATAAACAAGTAGGTATTACAATCTAACTTATAATTTTTGGTTTTAAATTATTAGTTTTCTAATAAGGTGCGAAATACCATCAGATCCAATTATTGCGGATTTTATGCAGTAAAGCTAATTCCCTTTGAAAAGTCAGCTTTCTGCCAAGAAATCAACAATAATTAACTTAATTATATTTTAGTTTTCTTGTGATACTTTTGATATACAAAGCATGACGATATACAAAGCGTTAGTAGAAAGCCCATTTAAGATTTAAATGTTCAACTTTAATTCAATGATGAGCAAGATTCGTTTACGATATGAAAGATAAGCGAAGATAAATGAAAGACCTAGCTGATTGGCAGCAGCTTTTGAACTTTATTAGCGTCTAATAAAATAATACGAAAATAGAATCAATCACATCTCTCTCAGATGTTATTAATTTAGCAAAATGTAACGTTTGCACATGAACATGTTATACTAATAAAGGCGTAACATAGTCTCATCAGCAGCGGAAGTGTCAAAATCATAAAGAGTAGAAAATATAATAGTATCAATTTTCCCATTACGAGAGATAAAATAAAATTACAAAAAACGCTGGAGATACCAGTTAATGAAAATAAAGCTCATTTTAAGTTTTTTCAAGGCGTTTGTGTGCTAAATTTCTTTAGAAGGTTTACACAAATTAATTGTTCTTTCTTCATCTGATCATGATCGAATTAGTTTTAAAATAAGCCTGATACAAAAAAAAAAAAAAAAAAAAAAAATACATTCCTTGAAAAAGGCTTAGTTTCCAGTTAATGGTATATAAATTATACCAAAATATCCACCACAAATATTATTATCACAAAATACTTTTATCTCGGTTCGCATCTCCAGAAATTTATTTGTACTCCTTAATAAGATCCCTCTGCAGTTACCTGATTCTTTAAATTTACATAAATAACTTCCAACGAACATTTATTCGTTGAACTTTTTATTACCTACACAGATACAGTATCTTCTTTATGATCATCATTATTGTTACTGTGTATATTTATATCCAACTGAGTTCATGCACTCCGTTTATTTTTTTTGTAATTAATCTTGTATGTAGTAACAAATGTGTTAGATTAAATAAGTTGTATTCATTATTTTTGTATAATTTTCTCATGACTCTCGTGAAATTCATTTTGTATAATTTACTAATGACTTTCTCATGAATAAACTGTTAAACAATTAAGAAAATGCTGGTAGTTCATCTTTCTCTTATTCGTTTTATCAATTCTTAGTTTAATTTAAGGCTTTTGGTGCTGTTATGTTTTAACAATTCATTTAGCAAACATATTAGTGCAATATCTATGGGAAATAAATTATTATCATCGCAATGCATTATTTGCGCTTCTACGTTTATATTAATGAGAGATATTATTAAAACAACCAATGTTGTAATTTAATGAATACTGCAAGAATTAGAGATATTAAAAAAATTAAATCAAAATATAAATTTTTAAGATACACATTTATTGCATTTAAATCGCTTACTTTATTAACGAACACTATAAACTATTTTTGAAAGAAAATATTTAAAAAATGCAGTGAAATCTTTTTCGTCTACTATCTTCTGTAAATGATTGCGTTACAAAGTGATTAGCACATCTGAAAATCTAAATATGTAATAAACCTTTGTGAAGAGACTGCGTCTACAGAAAAGTAAAATCATCCAGAACCGCAGATTCTTGGAAATTTCATTAATTTTGCAACTTAAAAAGGCGACACTTCTGAGAATGGCAATTTTCCAGTTTGCTAGATAGTAGACGAAAAATCGTATACTGCATAAAGAGACAAAATCCCGATTTAATATTAAATGGTCTGGTAACTTAACAACATGTAAAATAACACTGCACGAAAATTCAAAGCTAAGTAGGTTTCTAACGTAAAGACACGAAATATATAAAATGCCATGTATAACTCTATCAAAATATCTTTCTTCCATATAAGCAAGAAAACCTACGTCATACTCTTGAAAAGTACTTGAGAAATGACTGAGTAACCATTATGTTTATAAATTGTATATAAACATGTAGCTGATAAAATATTTTTCAAAGTAAATATAATTAAAATAAAAAAGGTTTCCTTTTATATTTAAACCGTAAGAGTCTACGGATATTTACTCAGAAATTCTAAAATTATCGTTTACAGAGTTAGGAAAATGATAATAAAAGTACAGGGGAAAAGTAAACTTTTTTTATAAACCATTTTTTTTCTGTGTGTGTGTGTGATTATGGCAAAGCCTCGAGGGCTATCTGCCTAAGGGGAGGGATGCCTTCGTGGAGGACTTTCTAAGGGAAACTGGCTCTTATACACGTTACACATGGGGAAAACCAATTTTTTTTTTCTGCATAGCAAGATCATTTTGTTAAAATATATATGAAAAAATTCGAAGTTTTGGTGGAAATGGTGTTTTTGAATAAAACATCCATAATCATTTTTAGTATTTTAATATATCAAACCTGCATGGAGTTTTCGATTTACCTATTTCCCTAAGGCCAAGGAATGATTCAAAAAATAAAAAGAGCGCCATATTCCGCAAACTGTCGTTCTGAGAATATTCGTTTCCCTAAAGCTTGTTTTCCTCCAAGAAAATGTCATCAGAAGTTCAACAGCATATTTTAAATCCATAGTTGAGATAAATATCCTAGTTATATTCGGGAACAGAGCACCCATTTCACGGGAGCCGTGCCATTTGCTCTACCATAAAATAAACCTTTTGACAGAACTGTCGTTAGTAGGACTGCCATTCAGTTTCGGTGATAAGACTGTCGGAAAACACTGTTGTAACTTTCTGAGAGTTATTGAAGGAGCTTTATGCATTCGCGTGAAGTTTTAATGCTATTTCCTATTTCATTCGAATGTTTCAAAATGTCAGAATTTTACTGTTCATTAGTATGCTTCAGTGTTTCAAAACATTTCGGTTTTTAGAATGTTTCAAAAGGCCAAAATTTTACATTCTTCATCAGAATATATGAAAAGTAGTTTTCTTTTCACAATGGGAAGTTTACTTTTACTCCTTTCTAAAAATTCTCTTTTTCAGCACTTTACCTTATAAGGCCGATTTTCGTTTTATGGAATTAAGTGCCAGTCATTGTTCTAAAATATTATACGACTTATACATATACGGAAATTCAAAAAATAACCTGCCTAGTAGCAATTAATAGTAAAACGTACAATCAAACATGCATTTATTTCAAAATTTAGAAATAAATCAAGTAGGCTTGTAACGTTATTAGGTATTTTGATGCTGAAGACGTGAAAAATGAGCAGTGCCTTCGCCAGGACTCAAATCTGGCCCTCTCGAATACGCGCCGAGTTTGCTACCGTTACACCTCGAAGGCATGCAGAAATGAAGGAGAAATTACCTTATACGAGTATATCCATCTTTTAAAGGGCGACTGGAATTTAAGGGATCCAATCGCTAAATCCTTGTGGTGAAGAATCGTCATTCACCACCTTTTGGTTCGGGTGCCACTATAGAGTCATTAGGGTTTTTTGATGTCAGGAAGCTGAAATATATGCAATGCCCTTGCGAGGACTCGAACCTGAACCTCTCGAATACGTGCCGAGTATGCTACCGTTACACCACGATGGCATGCTGAAAGGAGGGAGAAAATACCTTATAAACTAATGGTGCATTATAATTTATTTTATGTAGCAGACACATTTTATTTTTATAAAGTACCCATTTATTTTGTTCAGTACACATTCTTCCCTGTAATAAGTACAGAACAACGCTGTTTGGAACAGATATCTTTAATTTTAATGGAAAACAGGTTAGTATAATTATGTTACATGAATGAATTCATTTAAAACATCTGCTATGTTTATCATCAGATTAAGAATT